TTTTACTACCGCTGCACAAACCAGACAATGACGTGCTGCTGTCTTTAGATAAATCAAGGGGGGGGGTGAACCTTTCAATTACAATATAAACGATTTCCCTATTTCTAATGGCTAATGTATGGGCACATAGACCAACAATAGAGAAATTGAAATTCAGAAAGTAAACCAGAGAAAGTCATTAATTAAAAAAGAGGTCGTTTTAACTTGAAAATTTTAATCCCTACTTTCGATTTTATGAGGATTTACAAATTTATATACAGTGGACCTTGTGCATGCTTCTATCTAGATTTGAAGTTTTACATAGCAAATTAGGAATATATTTGAAATGTTGTTAAGAACATTCTTCCCAAAACAGAAAAATCATGATTAGTCATATTATTATGGAAGTATGCTCAGGTAATGTAGAATCAGATTTGTTCAAATTAAGGTTTTGTAGAGTGCGGCCACATTGAGCGATCAAATTTTTTACTTTAAAATATATAGGGGGAAATCTTTTAAATTCTTCCGCTGGAGAATAGCTAAGCCATGTTTAGTAAATAATGATATGGAAGCATCTTGGGGGAAATGTAAATTTAAGCCCCCCCCCCCTCCCGTAAACTTTTCAGTACTGACATGATTTGTGCTTTTTCTAAGTCAATGTGATCAGGTGAGCAATGTGACCCATGGTTCTTTTGTTATTTTAAACTTTAGATAAAACATTGTCTTGCTTAGATTACAACGGGAAGGAACAAGGAATCAAATAAATTGTATATATTTAATAAAAAAATAATAATCACAAGCTAAAAATAGAGGCGAGGAAAAAAATGAAATTGCTCGATCTTTTCATCAATTGATACAGACATATGTTGCAGTACTAATCGATGTTAAACCCCGCACTTTTATATATATTGTTGTACTCACTACTTTCTGTTGTGAAAAGTAAGATCTAAAAGAAACTCCGGATGAATTGCCAAGGAAGAACGCTTTAAACTCTTTGTTTTAATCATTTTTATATGATGGAATGAAATGGTTTTATAAAAAACGTTTACAAAGCTAAACGTTTTACTAGCCGACTTAGAATATCTTTTTCTTTTTTAAAATTATTCTTGGTTTCCAAAGAAGCAATAAGGGATAGAACTTGTAGGGAATTTTCATCTCTATAAGGTAGTTTGAAAAATATTGATTAGCTTTATAATGATAGCATATCCAAATTTGTTATGATTAACTACAGAAGTTTTACCCCTAACACCTTCATGTAAATTATCGATGTTTCCGGCTTTTTTTTTTTTTTGGTTTGATCTGCTAATATTTTTAGTTTTTTTCCCTACTGCTCGTTATCTGTTTGGAGATTTGAAAACCCCTGATATCAATAAAGGAAATTAAGAAAATGAGTTTTCAGTTAAATTAAACAGTTTAATGGAGGGGAAACCGGAATTTTAAGTGGAAGTTTTGTACATTGTACTTGTAAAAAGACATGCTTAGCGAGGGTTTACAATTCACATAAGTATTTATATAAACATGACAGACATGGCTTTTTGAGATTATTGTTAAAAGTAATAAAAATTTCTGTAGTCGAACAAATTAAGAAAAAAATTCATGGATTAATGAAAATGATAAGTTGCTAATCAAGCTGGGTAATTTTTTTAACCAATATTTTTAAAAAAAGAAATAAAAATCATGCAATGTTCAAAAAAAGAACCAAATAAATGCAAAAGAATAATGCTTATACTCTAGTAAAAAAAAAAAACCTTATATGTACAGTATGTCATTTATATATGTTGTAATCCCCAAAATCTGTTATCATTTTATCTTTTTTTGTTGTTTCTTTTTTTTAATATCTCATGTTGCTGCTATCAATTTTGAATTTTTTGTATGTTTTTCTCTTTTTTGTATGCCCTGATGGGCCCTTAATTGGTATTAAAAATCTTATCTAAAAAAGAATATTATATGGACTATTTTTGTAAACTGGTTTCAGATAAAAACAATCCAGTACACTTCTTATTAATAGAAATCATTTAATTAATTTACTTTATTTTATTAATTTGTTTAAAAAATAGAAAATTCCGGTATTTATATGAAGATCATGTAATGAGCCACTATCTGCAGACTTCAGTTTGTGTTGATAATTAAATCTCCAGTAGAAATATTTTAACATAGCTGATTTCGATCAAACATCATCATTTATTTTAGTCTTTTAGGACACATCGTATGTGTTAGGTTCATCGATATTCTGATAAGAGAGATAACTTTTAATGACATTTTCTTTATTCCTTTATAGATTTGCTAAGTCTAAAGGTACTTGGACACAGATTTGAAGTCAATATTTTCTCTATAATATTACGCTTTACATATTTTAATAGCATTTCACACAAAAATTAATTAAAAATCTTATTTCATTTAAAAGTTATCAAAACTTCCAATTTTTTGGCGGGTTTGATTGACACATCCTTGCACTTTCCCAAATTTTAACCTTATTCTTAATCCTTAGGAAAAGTTGCAATCTTGTTGTGTATTAATGAGAAATCATTAAAACTTTTATCCAAAAAATTAATTTTTTAGAGTAGAAATGTTAGAAAGAAAAACTCCTTCCAATATGTCATTCCGAACTAAGAGTTGCGTACAGATTTTACAAATGAGCACACTGTGTTAATAAAGTTTTTGTAAACGGGGCACAGTTCTGTTATTATTGATGTTTACAATTCCCCGGGTGCGTTCAATCGTCACAGTTGTTCCACAACTGCACGGATAAATATGTTGTGTGTTTGTTTTGCTTACGAACATTCTATCAATTTTCTGGATTATAGTATTGATATTTTTCATTTATACACAACGAGATTGCCACTTTTCCTAGGGATTAAGAATAGAATTAATTTGTGAAAGAGCAAGGGGTCAATCAAACCCGCCAAAAAATTAAGATTTTTAATTAATTTTTGTTTGAAATGCTATTAAAATATATAAGTGGTAAATTAAAGAAAATAATAACTTCAAATCTGTGTCAATCCCTTTTAAAGTGTATTTTTTGTCCAATCTGTACAGTTTCTGTTAAACTTTTTCATTGCGTTTTATATTTGGTTTTTAATGGCATTTAGACCATTATATATTTATACAAAAATGAAAATCAATCCCCCTTTTTTAAAGTTTGTACAGAATGAAATTTGAAAATGTTCTTTTTTAGCTATTGGATTTTCTTCCTTTTTAAATATGTCATAGAATTTTGTATTGTATTTTAAGCGAGTTTTTTTTTTTTAATATTAAAACTATTCTTAGCGTAGAAGTTCAATGATAAATATTTTTAGTCGATAAACCGAAATTATTGGGGGATTTTCCTCCTTTCTTTTATTTAGCTTAAATATTTTACTGAAGTTCAGTGCAAATTTTCAGTCTTTTAGTCCATAATGAATTGATTTTTTTTTTTAATAGGTCTACTTCTTATAGACTGGTCAAAAAAAAAAAGCAGCCTCCATTATTGCAGTAGTCTAAATCGTCTTAAAAAGGATGTGGAATGTGTATATTTCATGAAAGAAATTTCCAGCGAACTTGATAATATAAATATATTAAGTTTGGACTTACACGTGAGATTAAGGCATGGCGAATCCCGGAAGAAATAATTTTTCAAATATAACACAAAATGGGACGTTTCAAAATACAGGAGTTTCAAATACAAACGGGACAGAAAATACAACTAATCAGGAAAACACTGGCGAGCAAGCTTCTAGAAGGGGACCCCAACCAGCAAATGTTGATATCAATTTCGATACGTCGGCACTGTTCGGCGAAAATTCGTTGAGTGATATTCTTGGACAAGGAGAAGCAAAAGAAAACTTTGAAGCTCTTCTGCAATCAGGTATGTATGCAAATTAATCGTTCCTGTGTGATTTCATGGTACAGTTTGTTTCAAGTTATGTTTTTTTCCACGAAATTTATTTTTGTCAAGGTCAAGGGGAGGATGGGAGTAATGTTAGGAAGTTTTTAGAAAGTGCTGGTATCCCCGCCTCTGCAATGGAACCCACTCAACAAGGAGGAGGTATGATACAATCTTTATATTCATGTCACGGTGTACATGCATACCAGTGTCATCTGCAAAAATGAAAAGCTTATGGATGGATAGATTGATCAACACCAATAACACTGAAGACTTAATTGACATTTTTCTTTGGTAACCCTTTTGGTATTGGAGGATTTTTGGGAGGAATGGCGGGGATGGGGGGGGGGGAGGAATGGGTCTTTTTAGGTGGGGGGGGAGGTTCCATAATGGGAGGAGGTGGGGGGGGGATATACCTCAATCAGCCATGTCCCAAGGTGGAGGCATGATGAATGGTCATGGACTTGGAGGTGGAATATCCCCCATAATGAAAGGGGAATCAGGTGGAGCACCTACAATGAATGGGAGTGGTGCTGGATCAGCACTCCATATCCTTTCAAAAAACCAACCAAGAAGAAGAAGAAGAAACATTTCCCCTTTAAATTTCACCCCCAATTTCAAGGAGGGTATTTCCTCCATAGAAAGTCACCAGATACTCAAACTAGAATTCCAAAGTCAATGGTTTCCCAATATAAAGATAAAAATTCCCAACATCTAATTGTATAAATACCCTAAATGAGGAGACCAGGAATGCAAGGTGGCGTGTTAACATCAACCTCCTCATAGGTACTCAAGGTCAATCCCAGGCATCAGGACAAACTGGGTAGTGAGTACATCGGCAACAGACAGTGGGAGTAATCACATAGATGCTAACTCATTAAATAAAACAGGAGGAGGTAAGAGGATGCCAGTTATCTTTTAAAAAAACCTTTAAAAAGCTTTCTGGTAACACATCAAAAGTCTTATTTCTTTGATTATTTTTCCCAGTGGGTTTTTATGGATACAAGATTAATTCAGACTAAACCTTTTTTGCATTTGTTTTGGACTGAATTGAATATTTTTCTCTAATATTTCCTTTTAATGTTTACTGTGATTTATTATAGCTGGAAGCAAAAAATGCAAATACTGGCTAAAGTTCCTGGAGTGGGTGGGCTAAAGGATGAGTGGTCAGTCTGGATTAGTTCCCCCGGGGAATGGGTGGCAACTTGGAACAGGCGGTCGTCCTAGAATGGGTGGTCTCCCAGGAATGGGTGGTATCCCTGGAATGGGTGGTAGCCCTGGAATGGGTGGTAGCCCTAGAATGGGCAGTCTCCCTGGAATGGGTGGTCTTTCTGGAATGGGTGGTAACCCTAGAATGGGTGGTCTGCCTGGAATGGGTGGTAGCCCTGGAATGGGTGGTCTCCCAGGAATGGGAGGTCTTCCTGGAATGGGTGGAAATACTGCAATGAGTGGAATGCCAAGAATGGGAAGAGGAATGGGAACAAGGTTTGGAATTTTTTATCTGGAAATACATTTAAATCAGTTTCAGAAAGTTTTAATATTTTTTTAACTTGTTTAATGTGTAATTATTATTCTAGGATGGACAAGACTATATTCAGCAAATCAGGGAAGAAAGGGGAACCGAGGTATGTTTTTTTTCTACAGAATATCCATGTGAATTCATGAGGTTTTAATTACCGGTTTAATATATCCATGAACTGAAAATAATTGGCAGTCTGCCACATCTTCATATTGGATGTTTTACTGACTATAAAAAATAAGGGTAATAAAATCTTACTGTTTGATTTGCAATATGACTTTTCCAACTTTTCCATTGTTTATTTCCCTTATTTATGTCTGGAAATTCCAAATCCCCAAAAATTTTTTTATGTCTCCCAAGTGATTTTATACACAATTTAAGTATAAGTAAAATCAATTTTTATATCCAGAAAGCCACTGACAAATAAGTTGAAGTTACAGTGATTTAAACACTTGGGCCTTATAATGACCTTGTTTGAATATACAACCAATGATTGAGTTGTAATTTGTCTGACATGATTCATATCTTTGAGGAAATTGCTTTAATGCCAAATTTGATTTATCTTTGTTTAGCTGCTTATACATAAGGGCACACAGTAAATGTGCCAGTGGTTTCTCCTCCAAGACACCTTTTTTTACCACTAGTTTCGGGGGTCCACATTTTTTCCCTGTTTTTGATTTGATTTACTTACTTGCAAAATTTATGAGTAAAAATTATACCATTTATTTTCTCCCCCTTTAAAAACACTTTATCTGGATTTCTCTCTATTGGTAGACAAAGTGAATACAAAGTGTTATGAAAACATCATTTGTAGTGCCCAGGCCCGGTTCATAGGTGCCCCTTTACCCCAAATTTACATTTTCACAATAACTCTGTCCATTTAACTTTTTATTCAGTGTTTGTAAATATAAATTTAAAGCTTTTAAATTTAGGTCCCAAGGTGAACCATTAATTCTTTTGAAAAAAATTGGCCCTCACAAATTAAAAAGATTAGGGGATTGAATCACTGTGAATGGTGTATGTTTATGTAAGATGGTCATGATTTTGAATGTCCCAGTACATATACAGTCAAATTTTGTTTCTAACCCAAGGGGACGGGGAAAAATCTCAGAGGATTCAAATATCAAAGGAAAAACTTAAAGAATATGTGGTTGGGACTTCCAAATCACTTCGACAGATCCATGGTGTTTGAATCGAATTTCAGATACGGAAGTTCAACTGTAAATCATTTATGCTATGCATGTTTTATCTGAGGTTTTTTCTTAAAATATATAATTGTTTTTCTTTTACACCCAAATGAGTGTACAGACTCTGTGGGTCAGGGTCTGAACACATTGATCATCCTTGAAATTTCCCCTCAATTATGGAAAAGTTTTGAACAAGCTGGGTTCATAGAAAGGTTTTTTGGAAGGTATGTTAAATTTGTTGTTCCTGTATATTTTTCACCTCATTACAAATATCAGAATCTTGATGAAAAATAATATCTTTTGTGAAAATATATCCTCCCTAAGGACTGGAAGATAACTCAATGGACTTTGGACTGGAAGAAAATGTAGCATTGATCACTTGTGGTGGCAGTCAGCCTAAAGGGTTAAAGACCTTAAAAAGAATATCAGTGTTTGAGGAACAAATTACCAGTGCATTATTTTAGGTCCTTACTTTAAATTAGGTCTTCATTATCTCTTTTTTTTCCTTTTTTGATAATTGGTAACAAATATATATTGGGTTTCTTTTTAAAAACTGATTATAATCAAAAGTTTTAATGAAGTGTAGAGTGATTAAAATTTAATTCTTTTGACCTAAGATTTTCTATAATCGATAGTAAAAATGGACAAGCAAACAGGTAATTTAATGGTTTTTATTTAGGATAAAAAAAAAAAGTATATTTTTTTTAACCAAATTTAATGGGGGAAAATCTCATTATAGCCCTCCTTCTGGTTATGGGGGCAACTGAAAGGGGTAAGAAATTATTTCATGAAGCTCAAATAAATTTTTTTTAAAAATCTGTAAATTGGCTCTTCAACAAAAAATTCAATTAAATAATAATTTGCAAATGGATAGTTATAAGAGATTTTTCAAGATTTCAGCAGTATAAAAATAAAGGCAAGGAATTTTATTTCACTTTACATTTATATAAATTTCCAATATATTTTGGAATTAATAAATTAGCTATTTTTTTAATGAGTAAATTATAATGTATCATCATTGTTATACCAATTATAATTAAAGCAACAATCAATTAAAGTGATGGACCTCTCTGTCTTTTCTTGGGGTTTTTTTAACATGTATATTGATAAATCCCTACTGTCAATTTTGTGTTTTAGCCTTTGAGATGTTAATTGGTAATCACTCTATCAGGCCACAAACCCGTTGCTATCAAATGGCAATTTTCAAGTGGGAACAGTTCAATGGGGACAGGAGCAGGGGATCAATCACAGGTGGGCTATTATAATGATTTGTTGTTTGTTTTAAGCTCTTCTGGTCAGAAAACCCGAAAGCTTGCAGGAAAAATGTGCTTTATTACTGTTCTTGTCTATGCTGCCCATTGTTTTAAATTTTTTTAAAAAGTCTCCCTTTTTACAGTTTTTGGGCTATATCAATATCCACAAATAGCTCATATACAATAAGATACATAATTTAGTGCACTGGTTTTTGATTTGATAACAGTGTTGAAGTTACTAAAAATAGAAATTTCTGAAAATTCCTTTAAAACGTATTTACAGTTTTGTCTTGGTAAAAAGTAGACTATGTACACTTAAGATACTTAATTTATGAATGGTTTTGATTTTGATGAACGGTGTTGCCATGGTTACTATAAATAGAACACTTAAGAAGCCTGTTCCCAATAACTTGAAGAAAAAAGAAGAGTTAAGTGCTAAAAGAGAAATGAAGATCCCCACTTCATTCTTCTATGAAAACAATTTTTTATATTTGAAAGGGGGTGGGTGGGTAATGAAGCAAAGTATAATGCTTCTGGAGGTATTAAAACATTTGAGCTGTAAATTGTCATGTGATGTTCTTCTTAATGTAAGCATTGTATTTACTGTGTTTAATAAAAAGTGTAAATAACCAGAAAAAACATGACTTTTTACATTTGTACATTTGTATGTTTTTTTTTCCTTACAGGAGCTGTCACAGATGGTTGAGTTAATGCAGTCCATTTTAAAACAAAACCATATGAAGCTTTTCTTTATCCCTGTCGGAGATGCTAGTGAGGTTTGTTACATTTTTTAGCTTTTTAATTTAGAATATAGTGCTTTTCTATTTCAAGTATGTGATATTTAATGCTAATTATATAATGTAAAGTGGATATTCTCTCAACTTTCTTTGATAACAAAACCCAAATTTTTGGACTTTAGAAGTTTAATGCAGAACATCCCAGGTGTGGGGTGGATTTTAATTTTAAAAGGGGTGACAAGAACTGTTCTTCACCATGTAAGTTTGATTTTCACTAATTTTCCATTTTTTATTATTACAATGAAATAAATAAACTAAAAAATAAATCAACTAAAATAAATAAAATTTAAATGACTGGAAAATATGATTGGATATAGGTGATTTTGAGGAGTTGGTTGAAGACATCAAAATCATTTTTTATTATGGTGCAAGTCTATTAAAATGATTTTTAACAGCAATGAAATTAATAACGTTATGTTTTCTAAAATAAATGGTGCATTTTTACATTAGTATCATCATAAGTAATGGGATTCTTTGCTATTTCACAGTATATAACAGGAAATTAAAAGGGGGAATTAGAGGGGGTGTAGTCACTCAAGAGATGTGAGGAACGTAGCCAGGGCCAACTATTCAGAACCTGAAGCCTGGGGGAAATTTAAGCCATTATCACATGACTTTATGTGCTCTTTAACAAACTTGCTCTGAAAAAAGGGAATCCCGGGCTTGCACTTGGGATGCCCTTCCCCCCTTTTTTTTTTTTTTTCAAATTTTGTTTGTCCTACATGTATCCTAAAATCAAGGAAAAAATACCTATTTTTAAAACCCCTTTTTTGTTGAGTATTTCATCAGTTTTCAGGGGGGGGGTTTGCCCCCCCCCAACCAGTGCCTATAATGCAGCCCCCAGACCCCCCCCCCCCCCCCTTTCCCTGCCTGTTATGAAAATTCCCGGTGCACTGTGAAATACATTGCTACGTATTTTTCCCATTTTTAGAACAGTTCAAGTCTGCTTAAAAGACTTAAATTCTTTGCATTCATTTTACTAACAGGATGAAATTTGGAGTCCCGAAGGAAAATCTAGATCATGATGCCAGAAGGCAGGAGAGGCATCATCAGCAGATGGGGCATGGGATGCTTGGAGGTGGGGGGGGTATCCCCAGGAATGTTAGGAGGTGGTATGCCAGGACTAGGTGGCAGTGGTTGCCAGGGCTAGGTGGAGCCAGGATGCCAGGATTGGGTGGAGCCAGGATGCCTGGATTAGGTGGTAGTGGTATGCCAGGATTGGGTGGTAGTGGTATGTCAGGATTGGGTGGTAGTGGTATGCCAGGATTGGGTGGAGCAAGGATGCCAGGATTAGGCAGTGGGTATGCCAAAGGTGGCAGTGGTATGAGGAGGGGGAGCCAGGATGCCAGGAAAGGGGCAGTGGATGCCAGGATTGGGTGGCAGTGGTATGCCAGGATTGGGTGGTAGTGGTATGTCAGGATTGGGTGGAGCCAGGATGCCAGGATTAGGTGGTAGTGGAATCCAGGATTGGGGGGTAGTGGTATGCCAGGATTGGGTGGCAGTGGTATGTCAGGATTGGGTGGTATGCAGTTACCAGGAATGGCAGGAGGAGGGGGCCTACCAAAAATACAACCTCCAGTCTCTGGCAGGGCTAGGTATTTTCCAGGAAGTGGCCCAAGGCCTAACTTACCATTCTCTTGAAGAAATTCTAATCCAACTTAACTTTGAAAAATGGTTTCCATTACACTCATTAAGTTCTATTTCAAAATACTGTTGTTTAATTATTATACTTCAATTTTAATCACTGGGCATGGTTTTTTTTTTTTTGTTTTTTTCATTTATTCACCAAACATGTTAACATACAGTCATACCATGTATCACACACATGTAGCATGGGAAAAACACGCTAATTTTTTGATGTATTAATATAAATCTCAAATTTTCAAGTTTTCATTTGTGTAATTGTTAAAATATGATAGGATATTTAAAATATTATACATTTCTTCATTTAATGTTTTATTACTGCATGATTTAATCAATGCAATTGCAGTTATATACATGTAAATATATACATGTATGTCATACATGTATTATGAATTATAATTATTGTGACCTTATCAAACTGGGAAAAGTCTCAAGGACTAGTCTTTAGAAAGCAAACCCAACAGTCCTGAAAACATTCCCCGGGACTACCCAAAAACAGTCCCAGAGACTACTCAGAAGAAAACCCAGCAGTTACACAAAACAGTCCACAATTCACTAGAAAAAAACTCAATAGTCCCAGAAAAAATTTCCAGTGACTTTCCTAGAAAAAGGAGTCAATAGTCCCAGAAAACAGTACCAGGGACTACTTTAGAAAAAAAACCCAGCAGTTCCCTTTAAAAAAAACCAAAAAGTCCAAAGGTTTGCTTTCTGGATTGCTAATTAGAATTCATTACTAGTATCAGGATTTTGTTAAACCCGATTGACCAGGAGTTATGTACTTTGGGTATTTTATTTGTTTTACTCTTGTTACTTCTTTGTAAAAGGGAGGGTCTTACCTTAATGTATTTGGTTAGTTGAAAAAAAAGATGGATTATTGTGGGGTTTTTATAAGGAAATTTAAACTAAATATCACATGAAATTATTAATTAAATGTCACATATCAGTATAAAGTGTGAAAGTAAAAACAGATCACTTCTCAACAAAAGCTGTATTTTTTGTGTTTTTTTTTTGTAATAAAAATTTTTATCAGTTGTAATGAATCTTTATATGCTTTTACTTTATAGTTGCAATGTTGAATTTTTATTTTGTGTATTTTGTATAAATAAATATTCTGAAGAACAATACTGGTATTTGTGTATATGATTCTTTTTAAAAATGTGGAGGTTGGGTTAAAAAACAACTTTGGGTTCCCCCGCTTTAGGGGTGAAAGAAAAATATTTTTTTTAAATTTCTCTGATGATGGTAGCTGCATGCAGATCTGTAGCGTTATGGTTTTATATATTTGTCTTTGACCATGAACCTAAATCCCGTAATGCAAAAAGGCAATTTAGGTAAATTTTTTTTTACTTTTGGGGGGAAAAATTTCCACTTTCCAATCAGAAATTAAATACCTTTCATCCTTAAATCTACCCAAATTTAACTAATCTGTATATTTTATCTATCTCCCAACCCATTATAGTCGTCTCTACAAGTGATTATTTCTTAGATTTCTGAAAATTCACTTCAAGCAAGTTTATTGCCTGTAGAGACAACTATAAATGGTTGGGAGGTAGATATACAATTGGTACAGAATATGTGTCTAGAATTAGGGAGTGAAAGGTTATTGACTGACAATGCTATAGAAAGTAGAGAAATGCTCCCCAAAAATGCGCAAAAAAAATTGCGCCGTAAATTGAACCTTTTTTCATTAGGGAATCTGTAGCGTTATGGTAAAGAAAAAAAAACCATAACGTAAGATCTGGCACATGCATGGGGCCAAGTGAGTCAACACGTTATTTAAAAGAACATGTTACCAATCCCCGGCATTGCAATGTCAATTTGGTTTTTACTTTTAATATCATGAAAAATATATATTAAAAAACTTGGCCCCCCCGAAACATTAAAAACTTTTTTTTGGAAAAAAAGGGCCCCCTGGGCCACTGCTACCATTAAATTTGGGCCCTTACCTTATAATTACCAATCCCCCCCCCCCCCCCATTGTAATCCTATTGTTACCCCCACAACCCAAGGGTCGGTTTAGACAATTTAAAACTCACTATATTCCAGGATATTCCAAAACCCAGCTTTTTTAGCCCAATGGTTCTTGGGAGAAAATTTTTAAAAAATTTTACTTAAATTTAATGTACAATTATACCCTATTGCGGCCCTGTCCCACTCCCGGGGTTGGTTTTTTCAATTTAGAATCTACAGCACCCCAGGATGCTTCCATATAAGTCTTTTAGTTTTAGCTTTTCTGGCCCAATGGTTTTTGAATTGAAAATTTTAAAAATTTTTTTCCTATTTATTTCAATGTAAAATTGAATTCCCCATTGTGGGCCCGCCCCACCCCCCGGGGGCATGAATTTTAAAATTTAGAACCTACACTACCTTAGGATGCTTCAAAATAAATTTCGCTTTTCTGGGCCCCCTGGTTCTTAAAAAACTTTTTAAATAGATTTTTCCTATATATTTCAATGTAAAACTTAGATTCCCCAAGTGGCCCGCCCTACCCCCGAGGGTCATGATTTTAACAATTTAGAATTTACACTAGCTTGGGAAAGCTTCCACATAAGTTTCAGCTTTTCTGGTTCAG